GAGGGACAGGTGTCAGAAAGGCATATGGAAATCTATAGTATCCTACAAAACGAATCAGATTTTCTATTTCTTCCTGTGTGAGCTATTATAGCTGAAGACATCAGGTAAGTGCAAAATGGCCACACGCCCAGTTTACTCTTTCCAAACTTACAAGTCAGGTCGTTTACTGTCTCAGCCCTGGAGTGGAAGGAGTAAAGCGGTGGACAGAGGCCATGGATCTCTGAGGGCGGTGCAGCTTCTCTCACCAGTCCTCCTTTCCCACACCTTTGCAGGTGGCCCAGCTGCCTCACACACAGGGTCTCCACATACTCCTTACAAGAATCCCATTGTGTAGGCAGAGATTATTGCCCTATTTTGTGAAAGAGGAATCTGGGTCTTGAATAACTTGCCCCAGAAGACACAAGTGCCAGGTGTCTGAGCTCCACTTAGAATCCAGGACTCCCAGTTCTCTTTCCACTAGGATACTGCTGACCTTTAGGGACAAAACAAGGAATGTGGCCCCATGGTGCCAAGAACTTGGCTAGGTGGGGTATTGCCTCCCCCAGTACTGTGTGCCCCAGGGCCTGGCACACAAGGACGGAGGCAATACTTGTTGAATGAATGACAACAAGGTTGTCAAAAAGGGTTCAGAAAGGAGCAAATGACTTTCCTAATGACGGTCATTGAGACCATGGTAACAGGCCATTTGTCTTTGGTTCTGACTAAGGGCCAAGACTGCCCTTGCAATATTCTTGGAGATGTGCACCCTGGATGTTCTTACCTTTGAAGAGAGTGTGGAAATTCTCTGCTCCATAGGCGGGGCCTCATTTCTGTTGATATAGGGCCAGTGGAGCTAAAAGGAAACATCTGTGCAGGGAGAGGGTAGGGGTGGGGGATGGTTCCATGTTGGGCCAGAAGTTTTCATGTTGTTTGGGCTGATATGGGTGGGGTGGCCAGAGCTTGTTTTATATACTCAGACTTCCAACAGCTTTGGAGGGAAAAAAAAAAAAACGCTTGAAACCTGAAATGTGCCTTTTAGAGCTCTCTTCAGATTTTTCTGCCTCTGGCTTTATTGTCAAGATGATTCTTTGTGCAGGGAAACTGATGTGAAAAGACTGGGCCCTGAGGGTGGTGTGTTAGCTCACAGACTTTTCCTCGAGGGTGGGTCATTCGTGAACATTAACCCAGCATCATTCTCCTGGCTGAAACCACCCCCACTTGCTGCTCCCCTACCGGCTGGTAGAGGCCTCTGGGACGGTGCCACCAGAAGATCTTTTACGCTGGGATGATGAAATCCATAGACCTCACCGGGGCTGGTGGTGAGTCCACTGGAGGTGGCTGCAGTGCTGGTTCTCACCTGGCCAGGGAGAGCTGGGGGTGGACAAGAGGACCCGGGGGTTCAATGGCCATAAGCTTATTAACACTGGCAGCAAGTGAGGCATGGTGGCTACAAAGAGGTGGGTTCTGAACAGCGTGTCCATTTGGACCACGGGAGGCACAGGCCCCTGCCCATGGCAGACTGCTTGAGAAAACACACCACAGCGAGGACAGTGACAAGCAGAATTCTATCCAAAGGTGATTTTGGGAAGATAAGTCCAGGAACCCTATCTCAGAGGAAAAGTTGGGAGGAAGCGGGGAAGGAACACGGAGAGGAGACAGTCAGAGAGGGACAGGAAGGCCAGTTGCAAACATTTGCTGGCCTCTTAAATGACTGCTCCAGAGGCTGGCGCCAGGGACCACAGGGTGATGTTTCGGAGGCCTGCCTGCCTCACCACAGGGGGACTTTATAACAAGCTGAGCGTCTAATGATGGAACCAGCTGCTTTGCAGAGTAATGAGCTGCTCGTCCCAGGAAGGATTTAAGCAAGCACATGGAGACATCTGACAGGGTCAATGGAAAAGGACAGCCCATATCGAGTGGTGGTTAAACCAGGTGGCCTCTTCCCATCTGCTTTTTATCTCAAAGGTTGAGGGACGGTGGGCCGCTTGCCTTTGTTGAGGCCCACCTCAGTCCCACTGGCACAGAGGGCCCCTCACATTGCACTCCCAGGGCCTCACACAGGCCTGGGCACATTGGGAAGTGAATGAGGGACCGATGGGGCAAGAACAGTTCCAGGCGGGTCCTGACACAGCCTGGCTCCTGTGTGGCTCCTGTGGGATGACACCTCGAGCAGGGGGTTCCGGGTTTCTGAACGGCCACAGCAGAGCTTCTCTGGGACCTCCTCCCCAGCATAGCCAGGGCACGGCCTCAACAATCAGGCCTGTCCTGGCCTCATACTTGGAAACAAACTCCTCCCACTTCCCTGCTGCCAAAAAGCTGAGGTGAGAAAATCAAGAAAGCAATGGAGGGCTTCCCTGGTGGCGCAGTGGTTGGGAGTCCGCCTGCCGATGCAGGGGACGCAGGTTCATGCCCTGGTCCAGGAGGATCCCACGTGCCGCGGAGCGGCTGGGCCCTTGAGCCATGACTGCTGGGGCTGTGCGCGTCCGGAGCTAGTGCTCCACGACGGGAGAGGCCACGACAGTGAGAGGCCTGCATACAGCAAAAAAAAAAAAAAGCAATGGAGTTTTAAAAAGAATTTTAATTTTCTCTTGCTATGTGCTACCCACCCAAAGTTCCAGGAAGCAAGGCTCCCTGCCTGTTAGGTCGCGTAATCCTCAGCCCTAAACCATCCCACTGAGGGGCCAGCTGTGACTATAAAACCCTCTCCCACTCTTGAGAATGTGAGGGATGGCCCCTGACAGAAAGGGCCAACAGAGTGCCTGCTGCCTGCCCCAGGCTCCTGCCCTTGGGGACCACAGTGGGGAGGTCAGCCAGGCTGGGCTGCAGGCACATCCCTCCCCAAATCAGATGGGGCAAGGCGGGGTCCCTGGAAGGAAAGCCTGAATTACATAGCACTGCATTTTCTTTTGGAACGATCTAAAGCTCACAGAAAATCTGCAACTACAGTACAAAGAATATTTTTCCCCTGAGCCATTTTCAAGTGAGTTGCCGACCTGATGCCCAAAGGTTGTGCTTTAGTGCCATGTTTCCTGTTGACAAGGCCACTCTCTTCCATAGCCACAACACCCCATCCAAACTGGACAGTAACACCCAAGGGGTACATCCCTGCCACGTGCTCCTCAGACCCACCACGTTTCTCCAGTTGTCCCAAGGGCGTCCATGAGAGCGGAAGGGTCTGGTCCAAACACGTTGTGTCTGTTGCTCTGTGCCTGCAATCCCCTTCAGTCTGAAACAGCTCCTCAGACATGTCCTGGACGGTTCTGAAAGTTGCTGGGCAGTTGTTTTGTAGAAAGCCCCTCAGTTGGGCTAGTGTAGTGTTTCCTTGGCAAGAGTCTCACGGAGGTGATGCCGCATTCTCCTCACCGCAGCCCATCAGGTGCTCAGGTGCTGCAGGCTCTCCATTTGGCCCATTACTGACGATGCTTACTTGGGTCACTTCATTCAAGTGACATCTTCCAGGCTTCTCCACTGCAAGGTGACGCTTTCCTCTTTGTAATTAATAAGTATTTTGTGGGCAAGTAATCTGAGATGATGAAAATACCCCATTGCTCATCAGACTTCCAGTGTATTTGCTTATTTATTTATATCTGTGTATGCTCATGATTTCCTGTTTTGCTGTTACTGTCACTATTTTGATGTTCAAACTGTCCCTGATTTTGGCCCCAAGAAGCTCCTTCAAGCTGGCTCTGTGTCCTGGCACGTTCCCATCCTTCTTTAAACAATTCCTTGCTTTCTGGCAAAACAACTTGTTCTGGGCTCATTTTCTACTTTTCCTGCCCCAGCCCTGAAATCAGCCATTTCTCCAAGGTGCTCTGGTTCCTTTTTAGTGGAAAGCTGTACTTATTATAGAAGGTGGCACTTGGATGCCAGGAGTGCTCGAGGCTTTGGAGGCAATTCTGCTCCACCCAGACAGCTGGCAGACTGATGCGCACATTTCCATTGACATTTATAGATTCCTCTTTAGGTGTCAGAGTCCACAACTGCACACCGATAGCTCCAATTTTAATCCTACACCATAGGATTCATTCTAGTTTTCTCTCTGTATTTGTACCTCCCTTTTCTGACAGTGAGAAACCTGGCTCCCATGGTCTTTAATAAATGTACTTATTCGATGGGTGCCCCTGTATGTAACCACTGTCTCACCTCTGCCACCACCCGCTCTCCCATGCGGATCACCTCTTCTCCTCGCCTGGACTCCAACACTCCATGCAGGACCTCTGCTCCCCTGGGGGTGCCCCCCTCCACCCTGCTGCGCCCTGACACCCCACACCGCGCTGCTCCTCACGGGGACATTCTTTTCTCCCCGCTCCATCTCTGGCACCACTCTGGGGCACCACAGCTGCCCCTCTCCCACCATGGTCACCTCTGCTTCAGACAGGATAGTTGAGAAACAGAAAGTGAAAAAAGGAGAGGACTCCCTTGTATTTTTAACCAAAGATACATCAAGTGCATAGAGACAGAACCACAAAAGAATCACAGCAAACATTCTAGACAATCCAGCAGTCAGCCCCAGCTCACTCTGTAAGGAGACGTGACCATTCTGGAGTCACCCCGCTTGGGGTCAAATACTGGCGCTGCCCCTTACAGCTGGGTAGCTTGGGTTCCCTTAACCTCACTGAGCCTCAGTTTCCTCAACTGTAAAATGGGGAAATGACAGCACTTCCCTCATATTGCTGGTGTGAGGCCTCCACGAGGCCAGGGAAAAGTATGACCCAGCGCCTGCCCAAGGTAGCTGCTCAGCAGATGTGAGCTATGACAACTAGCGTGTATTTTTCAGAATCCTAGAAAATAATGACTCTGTTTTAGAAGGCGGGGCCAGGATGCTGGGTGGGTGTTCCCCAGGCAGCGAGGCTCTGTGGCCCCAAGGGCTTCCTCCTTTTGCAAGCTTTTTTTTTTTTTTTTTTTTTTTTTTTTTTTTTTTTTTTTTTTTTTTTTTTTTTTTTTTTTTTTTTTTTTTTTTTTTTTTTTTTTTGGCACTCCCGCAGCCAACTCTGGGAGGGTTTCCTGGACAGAGGTCGTCGTGGCAGTTGCCTTAAGACGTGCAGCCCGGGCCACAGCCACTAGTGCTCTCTGACCCAGGTCCACTGCAGGCGGCAGCAGCAGCCCCAGCCGGTGCAGCAGCATGGAGCTTTGGGGGCCCTACTTGCTCCTCTGCCTCTTCTCCCTCCTGACCCAGGTCACTGCTGAGACACCCACCTCCAAGGTCAAGAAGGCTGCAAATGTTAAGAAAGGTAAGGAGGGGGTGGAGCCCCTCCCCATCCTCCAGGGAGCTGGTCGCCCTCTCCTCTGCTGGCCCTCACTCCCCTTCCCCTCCTTCACCTTCCTTCTCCATGAGTCCAGGGAACTTGAGCGGAGTACCCCTTGGGAGCTGGGAGAGTCCTCCAGCAGCAGGGGCGGTTGTCAAAACTGTAAGAGTCACTGGCTCTTAGAATCGGAAAGAAGCTTCCAGATCACCTAAACTGACATCCACTCCCCCACCACCCCAATATTTTACAGAAATCAAACCTTTGGCTCAGAAGTCTGGAGATGTCCGACTCTCATCAGGAGTGTTGGCAGGCTTTGCCTCGGCATCTCCAAACCTCAGGTTTCTCAACTGTAAAATAGGGATTGTGGCATTTGCTCACAACGCTGGTTGTGAGGATTTAATGATAGAAAACATGTGAAGTGTCTGGAACATAGGATATACTCGATGCACGGCGGGGGCGGGGAAGGAACAAGTTAATTCTTAGTTCTATAGTGTATCACAGCCTCGAGGAAATAAAAATGTTCAAACCCAAACTCGGATAGTGGAGGCAGCTTTGCTCTCCCTCTGTTGCCTCTGGGTTTGGGGTGTCCTTGGGTTGCCTTGGCCTCAGCAAGGCCTGCCCTTGGAGCCCTGCCTGCAGTGAGGTCCTCTCGGGCTGTTTTGAGACAACATTAGTGAAATGCCATGGCAATGAACGGGGCTGTCACCCCCCCCCACACACAGGGCCCCAAGGGGAGGAGAGAGAGTTCCAGGGGATGAGAGTGCTGATTAAGCAGAGAAACAGGTGGCTGGGGCCAAGAGCACAGAAAAGGCAAGGCAGAGGGGCATGGGCTGCCCTCAGGCCCCTCTCTGAGCCTCTTCTGTAAATGGACATCTGCCCACTGGTCACGGACAATGTACATAAGGGCACATTAGGACCATGGAGACCCACAGGCCTGCAACACAGAATGGGTGGATCTGGGTGCTGATAGGAAATAATCCCCAAGGTTCAGTTCATAAAGTAAACAACAAAAAGTTCAATACTTTGAATGGATACTATGCTGACATTGGTTTTGAAAAAGGGACTTATATAAAAAAATATATTTACTTGTATATGCATAGAATTTTCTGGAAGGATCCACAAGGGTTAGTAACAGTGATTACCTCTGGGAAGAAAAACTAGGGAGCTAAGGGCAGACTTGATTGGGAAGGAGACTTTGACGTTCTGAACTGTTTGGGTTTTTTAAAGTTATATGTGGCTATATTACCTTTTACAAAACGTTCATTAAAAAAAAAAAAAGACTCACAGCATGTGTGGTGTGTCCACGAACGTTAGCTGAAATTGCCACCAAGGATGTTCTTTGTAAAGGATACACAGTTCCAAAGGCAAATAACAGAATTTTTGAATGTGGAAAACAGTTGTTAATTTCTCAAGTTTACCAAAGATTTAGTATGTATTTATTTAATCATGTAAATCATGTATTTGATCATATGGACAAGAAGGTCAAACCAGGCAATGCCCTGGTCCTCTTCAGCTGTCACACTTGAACCCTAGCTCCATGTGGTCCCCACGGAGGTGGCCCGTGGAGGTCCAGGACGAGGCCTGCAGAACAGCTGACAGAGCAAGAGTGGAGTGTCCTGTCCAGCCCTGCCTCTTGCTGAAACCCACTGCAGCTTGGTTTTCCTTCCTTCGACCTGCTGCCCACCTACACCACACATGCTTACAGAGCTCTTTCTCCAGGTAGGGGCCAGTATACGCGCTGAACACTCTAGCAGACAATTAGCATCCCTGCTCTTAAGATGTGAATCAATTTGCGAACCACGGTGGTTCTCCCTCAGGCATCATCAGCATCATCTGGGAAATACATTAAAATCCAGGCACCTGGGACCCACCCCCAGAAATGCTGGATCATGGGCCTGGAATGGGCCCCAGCATCTGCCTTTCCCACCAGTCTCCAGTGATTCCTGGGAGCAGCCAGGACTGGGAATCAAAGGAAGAACCTAGTCAGGGGCCAGCGCACAAAAGTGGGGGAGGGTGTCCGGAGGAGGGACAGTCGCGCCCAAGGAGACCCCTCAGTGCCCGCTGAGTGGTGGAGAACAAGCTGGCAGGATGGGCGAGGGGACGAGAGGACAGAATGTGCTATGCCCCCATGCTGGCCCCCAGGGTGGGATGAGAAGGGGGAGAGCCCAGGCTGCTTCTGGGAGCTCATCTGCCCCTGGTGTGGGGTGTGGCCTGAGCCAGCTGTATGGGGGTCAGCCAGACGTGAGGCAGGGAGGGCTTAGGCAGCTGGAGCTCCAGAGGCCATGTGGCCACACCTGGCAGAGGAGCTCAGGTGGGGAGGATGGCCTCACAGCGGGTCACAGACTCTTAGAACAGGGACCTGAGGGCATCCATTTCAATAACATGCATCAGGAATCTGAGGCTCAGAGGTAGTGAGGGGCAGCACAAGGGCTCCGACTCCTAGCCCAGAGCTGTAGAAACACCCAACTCCTACGCCTTCCTCAGTGGAGTTCTGTCAGCACCTTGCTCCTTGGCCAGTCCCTGGAGGGCCCCTTGTACACTCGGGCACCTTGGTGCAAATCACAAAAGGCTCCCCGCTCTGAGCTGACAAATTATAGAAGAGCATCCCTTTCTCTGGTTGGTCAAGCAGCACAGCCAGGGCAAGGCTTAGAGGCTGGACATGGGCCCCCACCTGTCCCCTCAGCTGAGGGCCCTTGTGCAGTACCCAGCTTTCACAACTTTACGCGGTGCCCTGTGCTGGTGCATCACGGGACTGAGTACAGAGCTGCTGTGAACCACTGAGGCAGAGGCCCACTGTGAGGCACACATAACCCAGTCAGGCTAGTTTGCCAGCCCCAAACACTCCCTTTTTTGCCTTGCTCATCTGGGTGTTAATTTCCTCATACTTGGTAAGTTACATCATGAATTTCTATCTATGCCAGTATGTTTCTTGCTCACGTTTCCTGCGATATCCCTGCAAAGGAATCCGGGGTGGACAAAGGTCTGACTTCACCCCTCATACCGTGGACTTTATGCAGGCACAGCCAAATGGACCATGGAAGCGCTTCCCCACCCTCTACCCAAGCTGAGCTCAGCCTTTCCTGAAGCTCCTGGGATTTCAGAAAGACTGGGGTCCAACCCACTTGGCTCTCAGCTTACACATGCAGAGGAAGACATTTCACATCTGCCTCTCATGAATAACTGGCTCCGAACGGGCCTCTGTGCTCGGGAAGGCTCACATTAGGAAACCTGCTGCCATCACGGACGTGGGGAGAACAAGCTTGCAGCCGTGCGGACTCGGGTTCGGGCTGCTGGCTCTGCCAGTTCAGGCGAGTTGCTTCGGTCTGGCCTCAGTCTCCTGTCTGTGAATTGGTGGTGGTGTAGAAGAGACACATTACCCACGTCACAGGGCTGACAATGAGCCCAGCGCTGGTCACATGCTTCATTTCTCTCAGTCTTTATTCTTCTTCAGAGTCCTTGGAGGTGGGGCTATTATCATCCCATTTTACAGATGAGGACAGTGGATTCAGGGAGGCTGTGGAACTTGCCCAGGTCACCCACATGCATGCAACCTCAGAGCCTGTACACACGTTCACCTGTGCTGCTGCACACAGCCCCAGGCCGAGTGCCTGCCCTGCTTGGTCCGTGTCTTGTTCCTCCAGCCCGGGGAAGTGAATCTGGGAGGTCTCAAGGGCCCCTGGCCCTGCTTCCTGTGCTCTGTTCTCCTCTAGAGCTGGGAGGGTGGTTGGGTGTCACCGAAGGAGCTGTCTGCACCCTCCACCCCGCTCCTGCCAATCCCACCCCCATCTGATCCCAGCAACTCTCCTGAACAATGCAATACTGGTCTCACTTTAGCAAGAGCAAGAGAAGGATGGTCCCCCGGCAGAAGGAAAATCACGAGCGATCACTTAGACTACCACCGGCAGGGACAGGGAGAGAGAGAGTATGCCAAGACATCAAGGTCGAGGGGAGTCGTTTCCCTCGTCCCCTTGTGGCTGACAGTGGTCCACCCCTCCCAGTCCCTGCCCTGCCCCACTCGCTACTGCCTTTCTCACGTGTTTGTGATTGTCCCCACTTCCTTCTGACTTCATCCTAGATGCCGTGAGCCCGAAGATGCTTGAGGAGCTCAAGACCCAGCTGGACAGCCTGGCCCAGGAGGTGGCCCTGCTGAAAGAGCAGCAGGCCCTGCAGACGGGTGAGTGCACGTGGCGGCCTCTCCAGGCAGGGGTACATCAGACAGAGGGGCTCGGGCCAGCAGCCAGCAACCCACCTGTAGCCTCGAGCCAGCACCAGGGCCCTGGCTGGCCCCTGTAGTCCAGGGCACTGGATTCACGGAGCCCCCTCCTCAGCCTGCTTCTCTCGGGAAGATCCCCTGCCGTGTGGAAGCAGCAATGTCCCGAAAGGACAACAAGCTCGCCCACAAGAATCCATTACCGCCCCCTGGAAGCGCGAGCCCTGCAGCGCTCGTGGAGCAGAAGCAACCCTAATGAACCCCAGGAGACCCTCCACTCAGCCAGCCCCCACAGCCCTACAGGGCGTGAGCCTCATTCCCTGGTGTCAGCAGCTTTGCTGAGGCTGCCACTCTTAATCATCATCATTACGCTGAGGCAGGATTTATCACCCCTATTTTAAAGAGGGGAACTGAGGCATAGAGAGGTTCTGGTTTTGCCACGCCCAGCTGGCTAGTTAGTGCAGTTTGGGATGGGAATGGAAGCAGCCTGCCTGGTGCATGCTGGGTGTGAGGAAAGGTGGGCTTTGGTCTTCCTGGCCCTGCACGAACCAGCTAAACCGGGATGGACAAAATACACAGCTGCGGAGCCCGGGGACACAGCTCGTAGCCACCTGCCCTAGCACTGCTTGGCCAGCCTGCCTGGGCAACCTGTTCTCTTTCTCTCCACCAAGTTCCTTTCCTATTGTCTCTATTTTCCACACATCTCAAACTCACCTACTTCTGCGTGACCTTGCCCTGGAGAACACAGAATACAGGCTAACAATAATACTTAACACATGGGGGGATGTTTAAAATGAGCACAGTGTTGTTCAGGGCCTCAGTTTCCTCATCTGTAAAGTCGAAGGGCTGGGGGTGGACTTGCAGGGCAAGCTCTAAGGTCTCATGTCTAAGCTTTGTGCTTGTGCCAAGACCATGCAACCCAGATGCCACTTGCCTCCTGAGGTGGGTGATGTGGTGGGGACCTCCCCGTGCAAAGTCCATGGCATATGGAGAACTAAACACCCCCTCCATGTCTGCTGATTCCCAGGAGGTTCACGGGGTCCTGGCCTCCTTGGGGACTTTCTCCCTCTCATCACCCTCTCCTTTACTACCACTATCTGCAAATCACCTTGTCAATAACCCCACACAAAGCACTCCTGAGCTCTCCTGACCTAACTGAAGAGTTGAGAGAATCAGGGGTTAGGGGAGCAACCCTCCCCTCCCGCCATCTGCCCCTTCCCTCCCCCAATCAGCAAACACACATGAGGTCCTCCCCCCAGCGAGCCTCTGCCAGGCACGAGGAGGCAGAGGTGACCCAGCCGGGGTCCTGCTCTGGGAGCCTCAGTGTATTCATGAAATCAATGTATTCACTGGAACCCGCACGTGTAGGAATATAAAGAAGGATTCCAAGCAGAGGGCACGGTAGGAGCAAAGCTATGGAAGGCCAGCAAGAATCAACGGGATCGGGCTTCCCTGGTGGCGCAGTGGTTGGGAGTCCGCCTGCCGATGCAGGGGACACGGGTTCGTGCCCCGGTCCAGGAAGATCCCACATGCCGCGGAGCGGCTGGGCCCGTGAGCCATGGCCGCTGAGGCTGCGCGTCCGGAGCCTGTGCTCCGCAACGGGAGAGGCCACAACGGTGAGAGGCCCGCATACCACAAAAAAAAAAAAAAGAATCAACGGGATCATGAATAGGCCAGAGTGACAAAATGTCAGTAACGATGGTAAGGCACTGAGAACTGATACTTATTGAGGACTAACTATGTTGGGGGGAGTGTTGCAGGTGGGGTTCCCAAGAAGCGGCCCCGAGGTGGAGTTTAGCCTGCAGGAGGTTTATTAGGGAGCACACCCAGGATCAGCACCTGGGGAAGGGAAGAGACAGAAGGACGCAGGAGTGGGAAGAGTGCCCTGCGCGTCTCAACGAAAGCCTCAGCCAACTGCAGAGGGAGCCCTGACGACGGGAGGGCCCTTAAGAGCTGTCCTGAGTTGGGGCAAGAGGGCTCGTGGGCCAGTCACTGGGTACAGGCTGCTCTGGGAAGGGGGCACACCATGGGGGAGGGGGCTGTCTTCCGCTGAGCAATCCCCAAAGGGGCTGAGAGTTAAGAGTTGTCTCCCAGCAGCGCTCCCAGCAGCTGGGGTAGTCAATCCTTCACCCCAAGGGGGTCTTGGTGGCGTGTCAGTGTCCCCGGCAGGAAGGAAAGGCAGTGTGGCGCCAGGCTGGGAAGGGCAATGAAACCCGGCTAGGATGAGCTGCAGGATAGCCCGCGGTAGGGCTGGCTGCCTTGGGACGGCATCTGTGAGTAAAGACACCTCTGTGATGCTGCAGGCCCAGAGTTCAGAGTTCCAGGAGTGTCAGGTGCTCACGGGGACATGGAGATGTGTGTTAAGTGAAAGCAACTGAGTGAGAGGGTGAGTGAGTGAGGGGATGGGGGTGGGGTGGAGTGCAGACCTGCCTCTAACACTTTTGGGGTCAGCAGCAAGAGGACAAATGGAGGAATGTACCCCAACTGCCTAAACATTTAAGTTACAAACCCAGCTGAAGAACAAACTGCTGGGACTTCCCTGGTGGTCCAGTGGTTAAGACTCCACGCTTCCAATGCAGGGGGCCTGGGTTAGATCCCTGGTCAGGGAACTAGATCCCGCATGCCGCACGAAGATCCCGTGTGCCACAACTAAGACCCGGCGCAGCCAAATAAATAAATAAATATTAAAAAAAAACAAAAAACCCAAACTGCTAAGTAAAAACATTCTATGCTCCTAAGCTGACCAAGTATATACCTTCATCACAACCTTTGAGACCAGATTCAAATTTAGAATCTTGGACTGGAGTTCCATGCCTGAGAGAGCTAGCCCCTGGCCCACCGCCTGGGCCATCTCTTCTGTCCCAGGGGCTTGCCCGTCTCAGCTCCGTCCTCCCAGTCGGCGCCCCAGAAGAGGCCCCTGGCAGACTCTGGGAGCTTGCTTGGGCCCCTGGAGCAGGGCTTTGGGGTCCTGGGTACCTGGAGTGTGGTCTAGGTTCTGCGTAGGGATGTCCCCTGGCCCTGCAGCCTCTTGACCTTAGGGAGGGTGGGGCTGGAGGAAGATCAGAGCAGGTGGCTCCGCCTGGGCTCCCCGGGAATCCCACTCTGAGATGGAGCTCATTTATTAGGGAGAGCCCAGGGTCCCAACTGTGAAGGGAGGGAGGGGTTGGAAGCAGATTGGGCAGAGGGGGAGCTGAGTAGCAGCACAGGCCCAAGGCCAGCCTCTGCCACCCTGTGGAGCCTCCAAGCTAAAAGGCCCCTTCAGAATTATCCTGCTTGGGGGAGAGATGACCCTACCTCTTCCCCTGGTCGCTGGATGGGGCACCCAGGAGAGGGGTGTGACCCTGAGGGAGGGGCCGTGTGCAGCTGAGGGGGCTGACCTCACTCCCAGCAGCAGGGGCTCCACCACCTCTTGAATGGGGAATCTGAGATGTGCATCAGTGCCCACCACAGCACGGCCCGCTGGCCTGGGTCTGGAGCCTGTCCAGGGAGGACAGTATATACAGGGATGGGATGGAGGATGGTGTGACTACCCCTGGCGGTTGGCTCTTGCCTCCGGAACTGGAGACCTTGGGTGACGTCCATTTCCTCCCCTCCCCCGCAGTCTGCCTGAAGGGTACCAAGGTGCATATGAAGTGCTTTCTGGCCTTCGTCCAGGCGAAGACCTTCCACGAGGCGAGCGAGGACTGCATCTCGCGAGGGGGCACCCTAGGCACCCCACATACGGGCTCCGAGAACGACGCCCTGTACGAGTACCTGAGCCAGAGTGTGGGCAGCGAGGCCGAGGTCTGGCTGGGCTTCAACGACATGGCGGCCGAAGGCGCCTGGGTGGACATGACTGGCGGCCATATCACCTACAAGAACTGGGAGACAGAGATCACCGCACAGCCCGACGGCGGCAAGGTCGAGAACTGCGCTGCCCTGGCCGGTGCGGCCAACGGCAAGTGGTTCGACAAGCGCTGCCGGGACAACTTGCCCTACGTCTGCCAGTTCGCCGTCGTCTAGCGGGCCGATAGGGGCGGGGGGGGGGGCAGAGGTCGGGGGCGG